AAATATCATTCCCTCACTATTAGTGTCATTCCCTCACTTTTTAAATAGTGAAAATAATTAATTTACTTATTAATTAATTTGAAAAATAAATTAAAAAATTTATAAATTAATTTATTAAATTAATAAATTTATTTATTAAATTAATTAATTTATTTATTAAATTAATTAATTATTATAAATTAATTAATTATAAATTAATTATTTAAAAAATTAATTAAATATTAAGTATAATTTATAGGATATATACTTTCTTTATAATGCCATTACATATTTCTATTAATATAGAAAGTTTCAGAGCTTTTTATTCACTTTACTTTTTTGGGATTTTATGAACTAAAAAATGACAGTTTTCGTGAGAATGACCCATATATATTTATACATTGTGTTCAAATTTTCCATCTTTAATAAAATACTTTTTATTCATCCACGCAAGTTCAAATACATTTTTTAAATTTGTAATGAAAACACACAGTTCACTTGATGTTAATACAGTTTTTCAAAGATTAATTCATTAATCAAATTTAATTAATTAATTTTAGTTTTATATAGGAGAGAAAATTGCAATTATTTAATAAAAAGGAACTAAAATAAAAATTTTCTTTGTGGACCAGAGTAGGAATTGACCTTTAATTTTTTTATATCTCTTGTTTTACATAGAGCTCAAAATATAGCCTATATTAATTCAAATTGACGTAATTTTTATATAAAAGAATGAATATGTTGCTATCAATATATAAAAAATTGAATTCATAGCTAAATATTTTCTTTCCTATGGCTCTGTTTTAAAAAAGGTTTTATAACTGTAATTTACATTTAAAAAAAAACAAAGAAAAAAGAAATACTTTTCCATTTTCATCAAAGCCACCAACTTGTTGAAATACTTGTCGATGACAGAACCATGTTGGCATAACAACAGTTGGACCAAAAGCAGTATAAATCTGAAATTTTATAGGCAATAAAATATAATTAAATATTAAAAATCAAAGTTAAAATCAATAGCTGCATGAACCAAACACAACCTAAGTCACAGTAGGTATTATTTAGACAAGAAGAAATTGATACTCAAAGGTTAAAAAAAAGTTTAGTTTTTTGCCAACAGGGTCTTATAAGGTCTTTTTGGGTATGAAATATGTATTACAGTAGGAAATATACAATATTTTTAAGAATTTCGTTATTTGTATCACAATTTTTTCCTGACAATTCCATCTAATGCAGGGTGCGTACTCAAATCTTACAACAAAAAACAATTTTCAAAGATTTTACATGATCATGATGTAATAACTGGTTTCTGACAAAGAACTCTTTTCTTGATCATATTAGCCACCACAGATCGAGAGATTTATCGGTTTGATTTCATAGGGTGGAGAGAGAACTTCTTGCGATATGCAGTAGAGTTGCACATGAGAGTACAAGAATCTCACCAAATCAAGCTCAGTAGATGCACGTGCGGATTCGCAAATATTTCATTAAACATGTAAAATGATTGGCTCTTTCATATGCTACGGACTAATGGTACACCAAAATGCATTACGTTTGAATGAATTGTAAAAGCATTGAACAGAACAGAGTAAAAACCATGCTTTTGCATAATATGTGGTGGAAATTGACATGGTAAAAAAAAATCTGATTTTCGAAAAGGGAAAATTAAATACAAAACACCCAATAAAAAAGCCCTTTAAAGGCTTTTAAAAAACGAAAACTGAACATAAGCACCCTTAAAAACTGCTACGCACCATGTAATATTTTTAATTAAACTTTTACTGCAATAAACAATCATTCGTTGCACTCTAAATTACTTTTGACAAAAATAATAACACGAAGAAAAAAAAAAGTCAGAAGAGAATATTAATGATAGACAAAACTATCACTATCAATATGTAATTTGTAGGAATTTATAAGAAGAAATCTAGGAAGTACTTTACATAAGCTAGTTTCTGTTGTTAGGAACTTAATAGTTTAAAAATAATTATGCTTCTTAAAAAATAAAAATTAAATAAGCACAGTAGCAGAAGAAACAAAACATAAGTTAACCTGCAGATAAAGTTGTTCAGCTTTTAGAATGTTGGCCCATCTCGTATACCTCGGCGTTGAATCTGTAGGGTCTCTATGAAATTGACAACCAACTATCTAGGAGGCAAAACAGAATTTTAACTTCACATAAACACTTTCCGATACAAAATTTTCAAAGATGCTGAGGTTGAAATGTTTAATTCTGAACTTCTTTTTAAGAGCTCAACTAGAATTTCGATTCGATTCAAAATGTCACAGAATCTTACAAAAATATTAGTACCATTACTAGATGAATATTGAAAGAATTTCTTGATATTATTTTTCATCTATAATTAGAGTTACATGTTTTATTTATAAATACATTTTATAATGTAACAAAATAGTTGAAAAATTAATAAAATATTTAAATAGTGTAAAATTGTTAGTGAGAAAGAAGATTTTATAGAGATTGTTCTAGAATTAAGAATGTAATACAAATATAAACATAACTATGAATAAAACTATAGAATTTACTTGCACATCTTTTCAATTAAATTTTCAAATAAGCTAAATTAAATTTGCTTTCTTGAAATTTATGTACTTTTTGAATAGTTCTACCAAAAATAGGCAAAACTAAACAAAAATGTTTAAATGTGATAAATTAAATTTGAATTAAGTAATTCAACACTCATTAGAGTATTATTTTATCAGCAAACTAGTAATAAATATTAAAAAAAAAATTTCCTGAATAATTACTAAATAATTTTCCTGATGATCAATAATTTTGTTTCTTCTTTTAACCTAGAACACCTACTTTTAAGTAGCTTCAGTTAGAGTCGAGCAAATTTTTCCAATAAAATTTATTATAATTCAAATTATAAAAAGACAACAAATTGTTACTTAAACTCAATAGTAAAATTATTTTATCTTTTTATATTATATTGATGAAAAACAATCAAGTAAATGGTTATGATAAAAAAAATCACATACTGTATCAGTTTTCGAAAAACATGCTTCATATTGCTTCATGATTCGAGTAGGGTGCATTACATCATCCTATATGGACCAAAATGAAGAAAAAAAACTTGTTAATGACATTATTTGTTTTTGACATTTAAATTAAAATTAATTGTTGATGTGTTCCTAATTGTTGAAGCTGAATTTCAAATTTTAAAGAGAAAAAAAAAGAGAAGTAAATGCGAAAAAAAAAATATTTTTGTCACTGATTGCTTTAAGCATTCAAATAAAAATAAATTGTTGCTTCTCTATATGCTGAAGAAACTAAAGTTAAGTTGACCACTAATGTACAGGTATCACAGTACTAACAATTTTGTGATAACTCAAATTCAATAGGACAGACAGAAAACTTCAAGGCAAAGTTTTATAAGTTGGTATTTACTACATGATACTATAAGTCTTAAAAGTTGAAAATTAAAGCAAGGCACCACAAACTTTCACAGGTATCACTGTACAATCAATTTTGTGATATATCAAGTCTGATGGGACTAACTGAAAACTTTAATCAATAGGAAATTCGGTTAAAACTTTTCACAGCGGGTTCATAGATCTATATCATTCAAGAGCATCTACTACACATCAATCTTTCTATTATACTAGGGGGCCTAGCCCCCAGTTTGCTGCTGCTCACCAAACCCGATGAATGCTTCATAATAATTGTTGTTTCTTGGTAGAAAACAGCTTTTCTACTAAAGTTAAAATCATTCACTTAACATATATGTATACTAAAAAGAATTTTATTTGCTTACCCTTGTGCCACCACATCCACTCGTAAAAGATTCGAAATAAATACTATGGAATTTTATAAAATGAAAACGCTTTATATTACAATATTTACAATAATTTTGGAAGCCTAATTACAAATTCGAATAACAGCAGTATTCGAATGTAGTATGTAGAAATTATTGAGTTATCATTCAAATAATAACTGAACATAACATCTCAAAGTTAAACTAATGGTTTATTGAGTATACTACAAAAGAAATAAAAAATGGAACGAAGATCGTAATATATATAAAAATAATAAGGAGCACGGGCTTCATAGGTGAAAGTTAAATTAGCAGTGCTGATCTGTTGCCAGATTTCCTATTGATGTAAATGCCAATCTTTTTTCTTATTAACACATACATTAATATTATAAATATTTAAATCTATTGGTGAACAGAAGTAATTTTTTTAAGTAATCATTTTTTAAAATAACATTTATATTGTTATAACATTACATAATTTAAACAAACTTGATGAATTCACAACCGTAATTTTATATTTTCCTAATGGGCAGATTACCTAATGGGCAGATATATTAAATACTGTTTTTGCACGCATCTCATTGTGCATGAAGCTGATCATTAAGCTAGAAATCACCTAACAGATCTCTTTAACTGTAATTTATAACAGTATATTAATGTTAATTGCACAAAAAAATAATAATTGAAAAATGGTTAATAAGATTAGGTTANAGATCTATGGGTGAACAGAAGTAATTTTTTTAAGTAATCATTTTTTAAAATAACATTTATATTGTTATAACATTACATAATTTAAACAAACTTGATGAATTCACAACCGTAATTTTATATTTTCGCTTACCTAATGGGCAGATATATTAAATATTATTTTTGCACGCATCTCATTGTGCATGAAGCTGATCGCTAAGTTCCAAATCACCTAACAGATCTCTTTAACTGTAATTTATAACAGTACATTAATGTTATTTGCACAAAAAAAAATAATAATTGTAAAATGGTTAATAAGATTAGGCTATTTTTCTAAGCAACTTTATCTTTAAATGTAGTGCAGAGTCACATAATAATAATAAAACAGTTCTCTTAGTTTTAAACTCTTGAATTAAAAGCGTAATAATTGCTGTACAGGAAAATAACTTTAAATTAGGAATACAAAAATATTTAGAGAAAAACTATACCTTCATGACTTTTATTAATTTTATGCTGATGACAACCAAAACAATATGGAATGAGGAAAAAACAAGGTTTGTTACATGTTAATATGAAACAATGAGAAAAAACTGAATCCTACAATATTATTTTCTGACCAATAAAAATGCAGGGTAAACAATGGAAAACTGCGACACCATCAATAGATTTTAATATATACAGTAGAAAGATTATTTCAGGAACTCCTTATCTTTTTGCTTTATCTACATCTTTCTTCTTAATGTTAGAAGTTCTGATTATCATAATTAACCAAATCATAATTAAGATTAATTTCATCTCCCAAGATAAAAATTTATCTCTTTTGTAAAACAGGTTAAGGGATTATTTCTTTACAAGTCGTATAAGTAAACTGTCAGGGTGTCCACTTTCCAAACAAAATAAATTTCCCTGGGATTTCCACAGTAAACTTCCCGTAAAACAATTTTCAGTATTTTGTAATATATAAGTTAAACAATTTAAATTGTAATTTAAAAATTTACGTTCACATAAATTCATTAAGAATTTACAATAAATGCAGAAAATTGTTCGGTTCTTCAATCTGAGTTTATTCATTAATTCACAAATAATTTTCAAGATATTCAAAAAAGAAATAATTAAGAACTTCAACTCAATAACTTAAGATTTCTACATTTTTTTTTATGAACCATAAACAATTTTATCATGCTTTGGCACCAGGAAAAAAATAATAAAGTTTTCAGCCCACTCTATTATTTTCAATGATAATTTATTAAGTTTAAATTCATTTTCAAAGGTAATTATAGTTTATTGCTAATTATAGTTTAGCAACAGGGGAAAAAAATTCAACTTACAGCATCTAAAAAGCATAGGTAGGTCCCAGAGCTTTGAATCACAGCTTGATTTTTTGCAAAGCCAACTGTAAAAAGAAATTATGAAGTTTCATATTTTGAGCAAAATACAGCAAAGAAACTGATTCAAGAAATATTTAACGAAAAAGAGCAAAATTTTTAAGTATTTAACTTTAATTTTGAATAATAATGTTCTATAAAAATTTATATTATTAAAAATTTATGATAAAGTTTTCTCACCACACATTTGTTGACAAAATATATTGAAATATGAAGTTTTTGGGAAAAGCCTCTGAGATTCATAATAGTTTTTTACCTTTTTTCCCCTCATGTATCCAGAGTCTTTCCTCAGCCATAGTTCTGGCTTCGGTGGCGGTGCAGGGAAACTTAACTAAACTCTAATGGTCATGTCCAGGGCCGGATTAACCTATAGGCACACTAGGCACGTGCCTAGGGCCTACGAAATTCAGGGGCCTACGAAAAACTTGGGAGAAAAAAATTTGTTGACAAAATTAATTTAGCTTTAAAAACAACAAGTGTATTTTGCACAAAATTATGAAGATACAAATAAAAATATAATATTTTTCGGTAATAAATTATTTTGCAGAATCTTATGATCTAATATATTACTTTTTTGCGATTTTTGGATTCAACGAAATCTTGTATTATGCTGTCGAATTCCAAACTACGCAAAATGTCTGATTGGATAGACATAAGTGCGAGCGATGCCAAGCGATCTTCATTCATTGTTGAAAGCAAATAATTTTTT